ATTTCAAAATAAATAAATGTAAAAAATTCAAAACGAAAATTATATTTTATATCGGAAAATCGCTTTTCTGCCATATAAAACTCTATGCATAGCAAAACGAACAACGAAAAACACGCGTAAGTGCAAGTTCGGTACAAAAACATAATTCACTTTATTGTGCGCATAAATTCACATTCATATTATGACAGCCCTCCTATAAGCTCACGGAATAAATGGACGTATCTACATAAATGACAGCAACTATATAATTAAAACGATTGCCGAAATTAAAGATGGACGCAACAATCAAATTAACATTTCCATTACACTAATAACTTGAATGAAAGTTCTTTAATGTTCGCGGGGCACAAATGATTGCCACAGGTGTCAAGAGACCCAACAAACTTCACGAACTTGGAACTTCACGAAAAGTTTTGTCCTAAATGAAGCCTTAAGTACTTGATTTTTATTATCTCGGCTGTCTTCAGGCCTTTTATTAGCACACTTGCCATTTTGGGAATTCGCTTCAAACTGAGTTACTCTGCCCATTTTAAGATGGTTTAAGTGACTTGGAAACTTTATTTTTACTTTGTTTATATGCTTTTAAGTTTAAAACTTGCATTAAAACAAGTAGAAGAATGAAAAACGCAAACTTGAATAATAATATACAAAGACGTTAACTAAGTACTCTTGCGAAGTTTGCACCAGTCAATAAGTAAATTATATTTAAATTTATTTATTGACTGTTTCATTGGTTGAGTAATTCTAAGTACGATTCCCTGCAACAAGGTCTTAAATGCTGATTGGCGAAAGAGTGATTGAATATAATCCATTTTATTATTTAAAAATTCTGTAGCAGAAATTACAGAATCACTCTTACATTTTTACCATAAAGTGAATAACATTAATATATTATTAAACAAACAAGCCTATTATAAATATTTCCCTACTCATAACTCCGCCCCCTCAAAACATAAGTTAAACAGTAAACACATAAGAACAAAGGCAAGAATATTTAATTAATACGTCTCTTAACATCGCATTCACTTGAATAATTAATATTAGTAATTGTAGCGTGACCTCACACCACGTGTGACCTTTCATATTACCAAACATTTGCCGGTCACAGTAGCTGAGGGCAGTGTTAATAACATTGACACTGAGATATTATAATGGAATAATAGATGCTATAAATCTTTGTGGAATTACTGTGACCTCCACTGTTGTAGTCTGAGGTAGACCTAATTTCGTATTGATAAAATATGGAAGGCAAGCGGAATCGCCTTATCGATCTTGAAGGAATGGTTATTGTTTTTCGATGCTTTTGTAGTGTAGGCCAAAATTATTTGAAAGGATAGAGTATTTTATGAGCATGTCTTGTGATAATTTGAAATGTGCAACTAATTCTACTATTGTTAAACTTCATATATTTCCATTCTAGTTATAATAAGACTGTTTAGACATTCAAACATAGGTTTTTAAAAGATTTTCGGCAATACAACGTTGTGAACGGTTGTGAGTCACTAATATATTATTTTTACATAATTTTAGAGATAAAATGTCAAACTTGTATGATTATTTCACACGTACAAAGAAAGGTCACGACTCATTAAATAAAATATATATTTTAACACAGCAAAGTTTGTAATCAAACATTTTACGGAATTACAGTCTTGTCTAAGCTGCTTTTAAGAGCTATATTCGTGTAACAGATGGATTTGTGCCACAACAGTAATCCGGACCCTTTGGGTACGGAACCGTAAAACCAAAGACGTAACAGGTAGTTCCCGTCATGAGTAATCCTGGGCGTGTAGGAGTGATCACTTCGCTCTTAACTCTTTGATTCCTGTCCTTGATATTTTGATTCCTTGTGCTGCTATTGTGTATTTTACATGTGGTTGCGATATATTTTGAAACATTTTTGGTAATAAATTGTAGGTTAGGGTTCTTATCCTAACCTATACATGTATAGGTGTCGCGGAGAACCTAACGGGTAACCGGGGCTTCGGCTCGACGTGCAGGAGAAGGAACGGGGTGGTTTTTAGTTAGTAAGAGTCTGACACTCCCTCCCGCCTCACCCAGGCGGGAGCAGTCATTCGATGATTTTCCCCCCTTAAAAAAAAAAGTACATATATAGGTATGTATACATGGGGCGATTTAAAAATTATTAATTAAAGGGATTTACCTAATACTTAATGTTCATAGTACAAATACAATATACGTACGTAAATCCGAAAACTGACTGCACGGTTGGTGCGGTGGCTGGGCAACCGGCTGCCGTGCAACGTGTCGCGGGTTCGATTCCCGCACGGAACAACACTGTGTGATCCACATATTGTTGTTTCGGGTCTGGGTGTCATTGTGTATGTGAACTTGTATGTTTGTAAACGCACCCACGACACAGGAGACAATCATAGTGTGGGGCAACGTTTTTTAACTCGTCGAGTACCGGTTTTGCAGACACAATTATAGAACAATAGGTTGCGGTCACCGGTGACCGCTTGGTATTCGACAGTTTAAAATAGAGAAAATAAAAAAAAAAGGTGAAAGAGAAAACATACGTAAAAATACGTACCTACGTAAATACGAAACGCAACGGTTTTTAGGTGAACGAGATATTTAGACAACGAGCTGATATTTGAAGACATTGGAATACAGGAAAATTTGTTTATAATTAAGTCTCTCTCAAATACGAAATATGGCCTCCATACTACGCATAAATAAAATTGAATAACCCGCCCGAATGTAACGTACACGAATCGCTGAACATTTTAAAATCAACTTTTACCTCTTACTTTTTACCGGGAATAAAGCAGAAATTGGTAAAGATAATCCATTTATCCATCACAAAGTGGCTGACACACGCAAAATGTACTTTATGTACGTCAGATTATGAAGTAATTTAATAAAACACGTGAAATAATATCATACCTTAAATTTTCTGAAGGTGTCAGCAGAGGTGAAAAGCATAGCCATATATTAAAACGTAACACCCACCATTCAGCAGTGTCTAGTTACGATTCCTATACAATTAACGGTGATTCAAGTAGGACACTGGATAAAATTTAAAATTGTAGACTGTTCTATAATTGAGAATTATCAAATAACTGATATATCCGACATGAGAATCCACCCCAAACCTCTTGTTTAGTAGGTCTCTCCATGTTTGGAAACAGATAATGCTGTGACTGAGCCGAGAATCAAAGATAACTTTTTATGTGAGAGGCCAGTAAACGAGCAAACAATACACCTGGTATTAAACAATCGGCGCCGCTCATGGACACCTCAACACAAGAGGCGTTACAAGTGCGTTGACTGACAATTGTGGAGTAGGAATTGTAGGATTGTAGTGGATTCAGGGATTAGAGTAATTGGGCCTCTGGTAACCTCTTCTCGATACTCACACTTAATTTAATAAATTAGGCATTTAATTGAATAAATATCACAAACATAACTAAGTTATTTATAATTCTCTTTCGATATTGAAAGCTTGATATAATTTATCATAATAAGTGTTAGTACGCGTCAAGTAACGTGCATGGAGTATATTGTGTAACGAGATTTCCTCATTCCATAATGTCCTTTGAAGTTTGGCTTAAGTTATGAGAAGGAAGCGACTTGTGGGTACAAAATATAATGTTTTTTTACTAAGTGGGAATAGAAAGTTATTTAGTAGTAGTGGGAGTAGCAGAAGATATCAATATATCAGATGTGAATTCTGAAGAATATACTTTAATAATAACTATCTTGAGACATACTAAGTTGACTAAAAATCGCGGGATACTCACGTGAATATATACTGAGAAAAGCTCTACAAGTTTCGACCCACAGAGCGTTTCTTCTTTTCAGAGAGTAAGCTGCGCGACATCGCCGTGACCGTACACTCTGCTCATGAGGAAGAAAGAGCCCCTCAGTGGCTTGAAACTATTAGAGTTTTTCTCAGTATATTCACGTGAGTGAACCATGATTTTTAGTTAACTGAAGAATATAATTTTATCGTAGAAAATTTACTGCAGAAACAAAAAAAAAAATAGTACAATAGTAGATCCTAACTGCTTTAATGTAACATGACTACTACTAGGGAAGTACCAATTCAAACCAAAATACCGTACATTTGGTATGTTTGTGAGAGTTCTAGATTAACTAAACATTTTCCTATATGGTTTGCAACGTACTTGGGTTACCTCTGGTGTCGCAGGTGGACTACGGTAACCGCATGCCATCAGGCGGATCGTAAGCTTTATAATTTACTATCAACAGAAGTATAGAAAAGAAAAAATAAAAACGATCTATAAATACAAAAAGATGAAGGCAGCAGCTGTTGTCAACGATTTATGTATTTTCTTTGGATATTGTTAACTCATGTCCCACAATGTTAAGTTTTATTATATATTATATTATTTTTGTATTTTTCCCTTCCTTATCTCTCTAATCCCTGAATCCCCAACAAATCCCTAATCCTCAAAAGGCCAGTAACGCACTTGTAACGCCTCTGGTGTTTCAGGTATCTATGGGTGACGCCGATTGCTTACCATCAGGTGATCTGGCTGCTCGTTTACCGGGCTATACCATAAATAAAGCTTTTCAAATGCTATTTGTTGTCCTTTAGACCACACACTCACATGTGCTAGTGATAAAATCCAGATTCTACGACAGAGCCGGGGCAAAACTGGCTTATTACAGCCAAATAAAGCATAATTATAGAACAAGGAACTTCTAGAAGAAGTTTTGTGTACGAAACTTGATGTATTTAGATGGTTAAAAGATTTAACATATGTACATTTAAAGAAAGTAAAGACGATAATTAAATAATAAATATGAGATTGTAATATTAATATTATCGCATACATATAGTGAATTGTAATTTTCTTTATAAGTGATTATAATTGTGATTTGTGAATGACAAATATCACAGATAATACTAACTAACAACTATTCATGTTACACAAAATACGAATATCACATTAAAATGTCATACTAAAGCTACATTAACTCCGTCTGCCATCTTCTATGATACTAACCTGCAATATTACAGCATCCGAGCAGCAGAGTCCACAGGGACAGCAGGCGAGCAGGACTCGCTCGTAGAATATACTCCATTTTACATTTTCTGTACGGCACGAATATTCCAACACTTCACAAAATCTTCAGTTACATTTAGAATGAAATTTTCGTTTATATCACCACGTTTATGTGTTCTGTAACAAAATAAAATTCAATGTTAGAAATCTTGCATCTATGTCGTGTGTCGGATGAGTGTCCTGGCGAAGTGGTTGGGGCGTGGCGTGGTTGAGTAAAAGCTGTACAGTTGCTTTATATAAAATGGGTAGTTGTATAATGATGGCTAAGTGGCCACCTTCAATGTATGATGAAAATCTTTTATCGTTTATTTCTACATTATCTTCAATAAATAAATACAGGCTGGAAACGGAACACTCCCGAATGACGCCGACCGCCGTGATGACAAAATACATTTTTAATAAAAGTAATCTTTCTTTTATGTAATAATATTTTTTTAACTGATCAAGGCTGGTGTTGCAATAATAACACTAAAACAAACACGATTAAACTTTTAAAAACCATTTCTTTTGGAGCATGGTCCAAGCTACCGGTGGTTAGGGCTACAGAGTCAGGAACCGCCACACTATACGTGCCGTTACTAAGAGAACTGTTTTCTGTATCAAGCCCTTGATCCATCCACCTAACGCCAACCTCCTGAGGCTTTTTGGGATGAGCCCATTGGCCGACACGACTATCGGCACAATGATAGCCGAATCCACACTCGACATCGGTATCGATTATTTATCATCGTGTGGTGCCCTTGTCGCAATAGTTTTTATTAACTGAACAAGGCTGGTGTTGCAATAATCTATATATGTATATATAAGAAAGTCGTGTTAGTTACACCACTTAGGTATAACTCAAAAACCGCAGAACAGATTTGGCTGAAAATTGGTATAGGTAGCTTATAGCCAGGAGACCGACATAGGATACTTTTTAACCAATACTTTTTTTTTTTACTTTTTACCGAAAATCACGAACGGGGAGGGGAAAAATGGGATTACGCGTACGAAGTCGCGGGCAGAAGCTAGTAACACAATAAAAAAAACGATTAAACTTTTAAAAACTATTTTCTATTTGTCAGCGCATTGGGACCGTTTCGATTACAACCTGTACATAATACATCACAAATGTGAAAATGAGTAAATTTGGGTGTTACGTTCTCAGTCGTCACCATTAAGTCGATGTTAGTAAATTCCAACGTAATAACAACTCTAATATCTGTCTGTTATTGATCTAAATAAGGCCTCGAGCTAAGCTAAATAATGACATAGAGTCGATTAGTAATACTGTCTAAATTACAAGTAACCTGTAATATCTACTACGTCAAATCTATAAATAACCTGAAGTACTACTTCAATAGTATCAAAACCAAGTAAATTATATTTTAAACTATATATAGTTGGATATTTTAGAGTACTATCAGAACTAAAATATCATATCTATTAACTAACTACGGTAAATCAGAATTAGTCTAAATTTATTTATCTGACTGCCTCGTTGGTCGAGAGGTCGCAAGTGCGACTGCCGTGCAAGGGGTATCTGATTGAATTCCTGGGTCGGGCAAACTGTTACTGAGTTCTCCAAAAAAAATTCAGTACTAGCACGAATTCTGGAAGTGTGGCCGTTATATAGGCTTACCCCCTATTACATGGCACTTATAACATACATAAATAGTGAAAAGTGGGTGTTACATTGTACAGTAGCATTAAGTGCCGTAATGTGCACCTCTGCCTACCCATTCGAGGATAAAAGGCGTCATGTTATTTTTATTACGTCTAAATTTCTTTAGAACAGCCACTATAAGGTCAAAGTACGTTCTGGAGTCTCGGAGCCATGGCAAACCAACTTAACCAACTCTCTCGCCTCACCCAGAGCGAAGAAGTATTTAGATAACTTCCTCCTTAAGAAAAGTACGTTGGTGAATCTCTAAATCCAAGGATACATGTAAAATCCAATAAAAATAAATTAACAATGACAACTTTGTGGCTTTTTGACCCCAAAATTCATTACTCCTGTTATAATCCTATTTTCATTAATGGCTCAAAGATCCTTGAAAATCATTGTCGTGAATTAAAAGACTCGATTAATTAACAGAGACAGAATCAATTATGAACTGAGAACAAAAAGTAACATCGACTGTAAAAAAATCGATTTTTTTTTTTTAGTTTAACGATTTTAGTTATCTTGCTTATAAAGATGGCAGCTAAGTCTTCATTTACTAGCCGTCCATCTAAATTATATCAATACTAATTTTTCGGTTTTCCTATTAGAGTGATCTTAAAGTATTCAGCTTTATTGTCATGTAACAAAATAAACATAACATAACATCACGATATTTTTCCCCGAAGGGATAGGCAAAGGTGCACATTATGCAATACTACTTCACAATGTAACACTCACTTTTCACTACTCTTGTTATAAGTCTCGTGTAATTAATACTTTACTCGGCCTGGCAATCAAATCCGAGAGCTCTTGCTAGGGTTTTACATAGAAAACCGTTGGATTTACTACGCCAAACGCAAAAAATAATAAATAGACCTAACATATATCTTTAAATTGCAATGTTCAATTTTTATTTAAAACCCAGTCAATAAAACAAACAGATTCTACATCCGCTGATTAAATAGAGCTACATTTTTGTACAAACTCAGACCAGTTTTGCTGATGAAGGGTACCGTATGCATAAATCGTTCATTATCCAAGTTTAAACAGCAGCCTGGTTGCTCCGAGAATCAATAGATAGGGCATGCTACTAACCATCCATCTTCATATTTCCTGAAGACCGTCTGACAATAACCATTCGTCTTACTAAATTGCCGGCCATGTAGCGATTTCTAAAGAACTTTCGGTTTCAATAGAAAAGGTAATTTAGCTGACAATAAAATATTGGTAAAAATAATTTGAACGTGGGTTGTTGAGGTTTTTGGTGGAGTTAACGTATATAGTGGTAGTCTTGTGACCTTGATATAGTTAGACTATTGTTATCGCTTGAAATCGTGATCTTTTTCTAGTTATCCTTACTTCCTTACTAATATTATAAATCTGAAAGTGAGTTTGTTTGCTTGTTTGTTTGTTCCGATTTCACGCCGTAACTACTAAACCGATGGCTTTGAATTTTTGCAGACGTAAAGTTAAATGTCTGGATTAAGTAAAAGGGTACTTTTTATCCAGAAAAATTTGATATTCCCGAGGTAAAATAAAAGTATAGGTATAGATGGCGCTGTGTGTATTAGTATATGCCACATAGGCTACTTTTTATCCTTTTGTGACGCGAGCGAAGCCGCCGGCAAAAGCTAGTTTTAAATAATTGTAAGCTGTTGGTGATGTTGCTCAAATGATGTTCATGTACTCTACGGTTACGCGTGTAAAGTAAATTAAAATTGTGTGTCTCTAAACAGTGATTGGCAGTAGTTGGACATGAAAAACAAAACTATTAGGTCGAGCGCATAGTGTGTGCTATTAGAAAGATAAGAGTCTGGAGAGTATAGTAGTAAAAAATACAGAGTCACAGAATGTATGATAATAAAATTTATTAATACAGGTTCTCACACGAACAGAATAAACAAAATGAATAAAGAATATCTACTTGATAGTAATAATTTTTTATGGGATAAGCCAGTAATCGAGCAGACGGATCACATGATGGTAAGCAATCGTCGTCGCCCATAGATATCTGGAACACCAGAGGCGTTACAAGTGCTTTACTCGCCTTTTGGGATTAGGAATTTGAGGATTGTTGGGGACTTAAGGATTGGGAAAGGGGGAAGGGGTAATTGGCCATCCGGTAACCTCACTCACACGACGAAACACAACGCAAGCGTTGCTTCACGTTGGTTTTCTGTGAGGCCGTGGTATCACTTCGGTAGAGCCGGCCTATTCGTGTCGAAGCATGGCTGTCCCACACTTAAAGGAGAAAGGATATGGTTAATTTCTTTCTTTCTTTGAAGAATACGGAATAATATAATTTTCCTTAGCAAAGTAAAGGCGGAACTAGTCACAATTGAATCTTTGAACATAATGTTATTAACCTTCAAGCGGGCGCGCGGTCTTTTGTAACGGGAGCGGGCGCGCGTAACCGAATAGACCTATGGGATGAATAAGACCAAGAAAGCAATAATTATGGGATAATCATTTATTAATTTGTACTAAGATACAATATCATTGTCTTTAAAGAGAAATTTGTCACAACAAGTAATTAAAATTATGAAAAAGAAGCAATTATTAAGTCACCTAAAGTAACTCAAATATTCTTTGGATCAAAATAAAAATTAAGACCCGTTTACATATGTTAGGTTGGTTTATATACGTAGACCAAAAAATAAATAAAAAGTAAGGATAAAACTGTAAAAACTCATTAATTTTGATTTTATTTTCGTCTGAGTCAGTATTCTAGTAATTTTTCAGATTTTGCTACTTCGTTACTTTATCGCGTCCTGTAAAACAGCTATTTATTACCGAAAGCTACAAATTATTCTCATCTAAATCCGACAAGGATGATATCACATCAGATAGATGTTCTTCTAAAACTATGTGATGAGAAGTTTCAGAGCCTTGGTTGCTAAGCTCTGATTCACTCTCTTCTTCGTCTTCTCTTTGTAATTCCTCGATTACTGTACTTTGCGATAACCATAAACGACTTATTTAAACAAAAAATGCTTTAAAACACCAAAACTCCAAGCTGAATTAGATAATATTGACATGTGTATGTCGCGTTGGGTGTCGCGCGTAACCTATTCGACGACAGGCGCGTGTAGTCTTTTCAACGACTGCGCCAGAGCCTAAATAATTGTAATTTGTGGAGTGTAGAGATCGCTTCAAGCAACGAAATAGTTTTTATTTTACTCCTAAAAAGATAGTGACAGGCTACTAGAAATTAGAAATGCATGTGACAACTAAAAATAAAAATACGAACGAAAATGTATTAACCGCGGTCGATTCGACTACGCGCGCCCGCTTGAAGGTTAAATAAACAGTAACTGTGTAATATAATACAAACAAGATTGCCTAGTGTAATCCTGAAAGTAAACAATGAAACGAACATAATATGTAGTAAATAATCTCGCTCGCTAAGTTTCAAGGAGGTTGACAGAAACCACAAAGTTTCAGCTGGCTTTCAGTGACCCCTTCAGTTATG